CATAGGACCATGCATGAATCATGAAGTCAATGAAAAAAAGATAATGCACACAAGGTCGACCAAACAATGCTCGATCAAGACTTCCAATCACTCCACATATCCGAAAATTAATGAGCAGTGAAACTTGGCAAATTTTTGTATGCTTTAACTACTATAGTCTACTTTACTTACATTAAATACAAGCCTATTTATTAGAATAAAAACTATATAACATGGAAAATAGAATTTAATTGATTTTTAAACAAAATGTTTACAATTGGTACTCTCAAGTTTCAAAACCTAGATCATTGTGTCAATAAACAAAGCCCCTGTTTTCTGGTCATTATTTTGAGAAAATGAAGTTTTGAATAGTAATTTTTTAAAAATATGTAGTTAAAAAATAGAAAAAAGTAGAACAGCCTATTCGAGTTGTGTGCTTAAGCTTGCTCTCGCTTATTAATGGCTTGGATAAAGATAATAGATGAGGCAACAAGTCATGCCTTGTACAATTTCCCTGTTCCCTTTCAACCAGTTGAATTCAATTTCACTCAAAAGCAGGTAGCCATAGAGTTTACTGTTAAATATTTTATTGTATAAATGTATGATTGAAAACGAGTATGAAAATTAAAGAATTTTGAAATAATAGTTGTAAATCATAACCTTATTTCAATATCTGAAAAATCTTTAAGATTCTCCCAATCCAAGAAATAAGGGAATAATAATGTTAAGAAACAACAAGGAAAAGTACTGATGTATACTTAACTCACGTTTGGTTTAGTTAAAAACTAATTTTTTAATATATTTTGATAAAAGTTGATAAAATGTGTAATTGAAAAAGTCGATAAAATCACTTTAATGGGATCCACAATTTTTATCAATTTTTCAACCACACATTTTATTAACTTTTATCAAAATTTACTAAACATATGATATTTAACTAAATAAAACACGGGCTAAATGTTTGCAAAGATATAACACTAGATTTGAATATAGGAAAAACTCTAAACCCCTGTTTGACACACATTCATTCAAAACTCATTTTTAACCACACATTTTTCAATAAAATAATATTTTTCATCACGTCAATAATTTTTCCTTACTTTTTAATCATATATTTCTCACCATATCACTATTTAAAATACATTTTTTATCGATAATATCCATCAAACACCCCCTAATTTATATGCAAATTTATTTTCCCCTTAAACTTCTTCTTGTGTTCATGGAGCCTTGGCCATTGGTGTTTGTTTCCTTTTAATTTAGGGAACAATACATAAATCCTACATATTAAAATCACATTTCAAAATTAACAAACTTGTTAAATTATTTCAAAATTAAAGTGTTAATTCCAATTAAATATATATAATATATAATTAATTATCCATACATCACCTCACCCGGCCACCCCCCAACAAACAATTAAATATATATAATATATAATTAATTATCCTTACCTCATCCCCACACGGCCACCCCTGCCCCACCCCATGCCACCACCCCACCCAAAATTTTCAGAGATTCAAATATGAAAATCACACCACCCCACGGACCTACCCCCATCCCACCTTCCAAAAAAATTTTAGAAATTAAAAACTGAAATTCGCACACTGGGCCCCAATCCATGGATCCATCTACCCCACCCCTACCTTGCAAAAAATTTTCAAAAATTAAAAATATCAAGTTATTGACTATCAGTGACTAATTGTGATCAATTCTATATTAATTGTGATCGATTATGACTCATTGTGACCAATTCTGTATTAATTGTGACTGGTTGTGACTTGATCATATACCGTCACAATTAAGATTGACTTGGTCACAGAATGTCACAATATGTCAAAATTAACATAGAATTTGTCACAACCAGTCACAATAAACACATATTTGGTCACAAATGGTCACCACAAAAAAATTCGCTTACACGTCAAGCACCACAATCAACCACCAATCATTACCACCATCACCTCCAATGAACCACCACTACCACCTTCAACTCAAATTTACAACCAACACCATCAAGAAAATCAGGAGGACCAACTTAACATGAATAAATAAGATTTGAGTCATGGAGAAAAATGAATAAACATTTAAATGCATGAAATCCTGTAAGATAGATTATTCTCAATAAACCTCAAAATTTTTCTGCAAACCAAAACCATAAAAGAACAATGATAAGAAAATGGGAAACAAATTCATATGATAAGAAGGTCACACTTGGTCACAGAAGGTCACCACAAATAAATCCGCACACACCACAGACCAGCACCACAACTCATCACCACCGCAACCCAAAATAGCAAGCCATACCTTGTCCCGAGTTTTCTGATGCAACTATAGTGTCAACTACTAATTTCGATGTAAACGAAATCCTATTCAACACTAATTATAATGTAGTGCATTCAAGTAACAACCCAGAAAATTCAAGTTCATCAGTTGGAAGTGATTTGAATTCGAAAACTATTTCAATAACTCCAAAACGGAAAAGGCCCAAAGCTTCGAAGTCAACTCTACAACAACTGCCATGTCTACTTGCACAAACACCATCATCACCACCCAAAAACAACTACCAACAACCAAATCGACACTGTCCAAAATCACCACCAATATTTGCAGCTGTGGCAATCGAGTCGCTCTCTCAGATCGCAGCCTGCTCGGAAGCACTACCTAATTGCGCAATGAGGCACTGATGCTCATCACTTGTCGAGGCACCGACTGTACAACACAGCATGAAATCACCACCAAATTGCGCGACAGTGTAGCAACGACGCTCTCAAAGAGTTGATTACGCCGTCGGTCTGTCAGAGTTGGTGTAGATGTGAGAGAGAGAGAGAGAGAGAGAGAGAGAAGATGTTTGGGAATGAATGGGAGGTGGGGGATGAAATATGCAGATTTAAAATTTTATTAATTACAATTAATAATCCTATTTACCATCTGATTTTTGAATTGTAAACTTTATCCCCTTATTTTTGAATTGTAATCTTGAAAAGAAGAGTTTTAGGTAATTTTCTTTTTAATTTTTTGTGTTGTTTAATGTTGTGTTGGGTTATTTTAAGGGCTTGGACTAGGTCCTTGTAATGCCTCTAAAATTAAAATTTTGGTGTCAATACATGAATTCATGTGTGAGTTTGTCAGCACATTGAGTCTTTTATTTAATGGCTTCGGCCTTATTAAGGTCCTTGTAATGCCTCTAGAATTAAAATTTAAGGGCTTCGGCCTTATTAGGTAGTTGGCACATCACCTCTTGGCCATCGAGTCTTTTTATTTTGGTGTTTGGGCATAGATGATAGAAGGCTTAAACAATGTACTGACTTCGTGTATATTGACATGAATATTTGAAACAAGTCGCTATTAGCATGTTCGAGAATGTCATATAAATATTCCACGTTGATATTGATCGTAAACGGGATTATTAATAATAACATATTAATAACCATAGAAAAATTTCGATACTGATCATTAATAATAATAATAATAATAAATAAATGGATCAAATAATAACCAAAAAAAATAAAAATCACTCTTTGATATTTAGATATTACTATATGTAATTTGATGGGAATCAACATTTTTAAGTAATTTGTGTAGAACTATCGATATTGATAGCATTGGTTATCACGATGCGCTTTCATTGACTATTATCAATAACAATATCATCTTCAATAAAGAAGTGATTCATGTAAGGTTAAGGGGATTGCATTGGCGATCGTTGTCTACCATATTTGGATGACAATAAATAGGTGAATTTTTTAGGATCTAAAACCACATGTGGATAGTATTGTTAGATGAATCAAAACATACGTATACAAAGTTATGTTTTCTTTGTATCCGAATGTTTTGATTCAATTTGAGTCTCATGCGATGGATTTCTAGATCATATCATTTGTACATTTTTCTTTTTGTTGCCCGATTATGCTCGAAGTAATTGTATGAGTAATTTGATTTTGTTTTGCCCGGTATCCCCTGTGTACTTGTGCATGATTTTTTATCAATATAATTTACATTTATCGATAAAATAAGAAGTGATTCGAGTCACCAACAAAAGTTCTGACACTTGTATCATCGAGACCCAAATATTAACGATTACTGAAGTTAATGTCGTTGATTATAGTCTACTATCATCGACGATGCTATGATAGCTTATTACTTATATAGTTATTACTAGTGTCCAATGAAAGTTTAATCTTTCTTCATTTTTTTAATATTTTTTTCTTATTATCAAAACGGTGCAAAGGTGTATGTTATAAAGTTGACCTCTGTTTGATCCAAATTATTTTTTTCATTCTCATTTTTCTACTTATTTTTAACTACACTTTTTTCAATAAAATAATATTTTCCATCGCATCAATAACTATTCCTTCTTTTTCAACCACAAATTCTCTATTACATAAAAGAAATGCATTTTTGGGTTGATAATGTGCACCAAACAGAGGCTGAGTATCCTATGTCGAACATTATAACCACATGTCATCATGTGGGCTTCTTAATTTACACCCAAATTTAACTAAACATACTCAAAGTTCAATTGTAAAATATCTGTATCATGATTAAGGATAGTGAAAAAAAATGAGTGGGTCCCTCGATAAAAATAAAAGCAATTGTTGACTACAAAAAACTTTTGTTGTAGTGTTGTGTGTGTCAAACACCGTACATGATACTCCATGTGATGATTCACCGCAATATTCGGCCGTGATTGCTTCTTAACTTTGTGATAGATGATTTCACATCACATTCTTGGATTTTAGCCCATATCAATTCAATCTCAGCTAACAATTGCATTTTCGTTGAACTAATAATAAAATTTTAACCTTTTATGTTCGATCCATATATCAAATCTTACCAAACAAGCTGTGTAATTTTTGGATAAATTTTTAACCATGTGAACAAATATATAATTGTTCCAACATTCTTAATTAAAATTAAAACAAAAACAAATACATTTCTATGTTGTCACCTTATTCCAATATTTTGCCATTTTACACCAATAATTCAAGCAGACATCACGTGGCATTGTTCCCAACCGCCTAAGCACACCCCCGTGGAGCAAACCCGACCCGAGAACTCTCCAGGTCGAACACAACCCGAAAACCCTGCTGCTGAATGTTCCCAATTATGGACAATCCGCTCATTGTACCAGCAAATGCAAAGCAAAACTTTCCATTAGTGTCCACAGGAATTAAATAATTCGACGCCGGCAATGACACGTCAGCATTAGTAAAATGCAGAACTACCATCGGCACCTTCACCTCCGATTTTCCAGCAAGATTGAAGCAAGTGTCGAATAGAGAAAAATCCGTTGAGCGTTTCAAATTCGAAGCTCCTGCCCGGAAAGCGTCTCGCAATGCAATATATGCGGATTGAGTCAGCCGAGTCACTGAGGTGCCTGAATCTACTATCACCCCTCCATTACCGGTCCGGTCTAGTTTAAAATGTGACGCCGTGATACCCGGAACCCGGACCCCTCCAACTGAAATTCCATTTAAGCCCACGTAGTAAAACGTGTCGAGCTTCGGATTAGTTAACAGAGGGGTGAAAACGGCATTTCGCGGAATCGACGATCGGCCGAAGATAATCGATGAAGGTATGGAGGAAGCGGATCGGTCCACTAAACAGTAAGAAAATTTTCTTCCAAACCGGCGGCCAGTTAGAATTGGAAAAGACAGTTTCCCACGGCCGAGGCCTAATAAACCGGCGGCACCAATGAATAACCCCTCATTATCATGGCCGCAACCGAAAGCCACATTGTTGACCCGACTCCGGCGAAACGTCAGCGTTTCAGTGGCGAATTCACCGACTGTGAAGGAACCGTCACCGTAGGAAACTTGATACAGGCATTTCTTACCCCTGCTGCAGCCCGCTGAGTCCAGACGCCGGCAGAGAGGTGAGCCACATGCTACACCGGCAAATGACTTGGATTTGGTCGGGTTGAATATCCGACCAGTCTGGGTGTAGCATTTCCTGCAAGGGGCGCACTGGATCCAAGCAACATCACTCCCAGTATCCAACACCATATAAAAGTACCTCGCCGGAGTTCCAATTCCGATACGCGTGAAGTACTCGCCACTTCCCTGTGCAAGTCCGGAAGTCACAGAACCGCTAAAATCACCCGCCTTCTTCGGCCGCGCGTGTCCGCCACCTCCCGAACGTGCCACCATATTCGTCAACGTTGAAACTCTAACGCTATCACGTTGGAGGCGGAGCTGGAAGATGGCTTCTGGAGTGGAATTGAGAGCAGAAGGTGACAAATTGTCGACATGGTGCAAGTCTACGGACAATACTGTAGTTTCAGAGTCGGATTCAGTCGTCGGAATAATCTGGTTGTCTATGTCCTGTTGGGTTGTCCAAGAGAGAGACTGAGGCTGCGGGAGGGAGCGGAGGACAAGAGTTTGGTACTGAAGTGAAGTGGAAACAGAGCTGCAAATGGAAAGGAAAATGAAGAAGCAAATGGAAACTAGTTTTCCTTGCCGGTCCATTTTTCTAGAGAGATAGGAAGGGAGTGAGGAAAGTGGGAGCAGCAGGAGTAGCATATAAATAATGGGGGATGGAGAAGATAATTACGTGAGAATGTTAAAATAAGATGACTCTTGATGGAAATAAATTATTAAGTTGGCATATCCGTGAATCCAATAAAATGAGTGTATAAAAATTTAGAGTAAATTTTATCAATACTCACTGAACTTTAAAATTGTTACCACTTACTCACTTAACTTTGACGGGTTACCAAGTACTCACTCATTTTTCATTATGGTTTTCCATCCACCACTCATTTGACTTCCATCCATCCAAATTGAATTGACCGCGTATAATTAAAACACACGACATTTCTCATTTTCGAATCGTGCTTCTCCTTCTCCCCCATTTTCACGACACTGCTCACTGGAAGAACCTCCAAATTGAAGCCCTTAATTTCTTGAGAATGAATGAATAAGGTGGAGAATTGAGAGTAGCTTTAGTGAAAATAAGGTGGATAATGATTGATCTGGACTGCATTTTTCAAACTAGTGAACTTGGCCTTGAAAATCTGGGAACAAATCACAGTTTATGCACCTCACAGACTACATCCCAACTGCAAATCTGGGAACAAATCGGTGCATCACAGAACAAATCTGATGCAAAAAAATGGAAACCAAATGCAAGACTCAGACTACATCCCAATTGGTCCAATCTACTTGAATTCGAATGCGATATTGAAACAAACCAAGTTATAACATAATGAAACAAAAACCAACTACATATACAACAATCAACTGCAATCTTATTATCAATAGTACAAAGAGGACTGTAATAACCAGCAGCAAATAACCCTATACGATATTCTGCCTATTCGTTTTCGCGGACCGTAATAACCAGCAGCAATACTAATTCCACCAATTTTCTAAGCAAATGTTGCATCTTCAAAAGGCTTCTGCGTTTGATTTGGTTTGTCTGGTTTTCCTGACTAGATTTTCTTCCTCTTCTTCATCACTTTTTTTTGGTTTGTCTGATTTTCTTGACTTCTTCTCTTTCCCAGCTTGCAACTTCATCGAGCTGGGCGATGAGGGCTTTGAGCTGGGCGCTGTCGTCGCGGAGGGCTTCCTTCGTGGTGGTGGATTGGGGGTTCTTTTCCGAGAGCCAACAGATAATTTCAAGAAATTAAGGGCTTGAATTTGGGGGTTTCTAGTGAGCAGTGTTGTGAAAATGAGGGAGAAGGAGAAGCGTGATTTGAAAATTAGAAATGTCGTGTGTTTTAATTACACGTGGTTAATTTAATGGAGAGAAAATTACACGTGAGATTACCGTCATCCATGTGTAATTTTCTGTCAATTTGGATGGATGGAATTTGAATGAGTGGTGGATGGAAAATCATAAGAAAAGATGAGTGAGTGTTTGGTAACCCGTCAAAGTTGAGTGAGTAAGTGATAACAATTTTAAAGTTTAGTGAGTGTTGATTAGATTTACTCTAAAAGTTTATATATAAATACTTTCTGAACATATTAGGAAAATTCCTCCTAGATGGTGACTGAAGGGACTAGCTTCATCGCCACGAGGTAGGACTACGTGATGAATATGGGAAAGGTTTAGCTATGTATGTGAAGTGATCAATTCGAGACTAGACTATTTTCATCACCAAGGGGGTTGTAATACGTGATAAATATGTGGAAATCTTAGTCGTGTATGCGAAGCGCTCTAGTGCGAAGGCATTGGAGGTGTTGATTTTCAATTTGCTCTCACGCTACTATCTTTGCATATATTTGTACATGGTTTAGGCATATTTGTATGAATCTTGTTGCTTTATTCCTCGTGAGAGAATAAATAGCCTATAAACTTGTTTATACGCAGAAGGAAGTTATATGTCCATCGTATTTCACGTTTTACTTCATGTGTGGTGTTTGTCTTCAAAGAAAGTGAGCAATGAGGGTGTCTTAAATACTGCATGAGCCTAGGCAAACAGGAGGTGGTAGTTGTCCCATCAACATAGAATTTATTACCTTATTGCTCGAATCAACTAGGACAACACAATATAAATATATGCCTAAATATCTCTATGCTTTACTACTCAATTGTACAATATAGTCCTCTTTGTTTCATTGCATTTATGTACTTGCTTACACAAAATTTAATGAAGGCCAATCCACTTGTTTCTTATAAAAAAGTCTCATGAAACATAGGAATTGAGTCGACTAGATTAGGGTATTGAGTTGGTGAAGGTGACCGGCTATATATATGGCGAAGTGATAAGACTTCTCTTGTGGCTAACAAGGTTACCAAGTTTTCCATTTAATCCATTGCTAAGAAGCATGTTTGTTTGGTAGATTTTTATCGAAAAACTCGTCAAGTCATATTAAATCAAGTTCCTCTGAAATCTAAAGAACTTCTAAAAAATTATTGAAACAAACTTGAAAAGAGCATCTTAATCTTAAAAGTAACTTTTGACTTTCAAAAGCGTACCAATCGAGCCTAAATTTTAAAGAGGGGTGGGGAAACATGGAGGCATTATTGAGAGGGCACTATCTAGCTTTATCAATAAAGTTCTTTATGAGAAAACCGTGTGGACCTGCAGTAACAAATCTTGTCAAATTAGCATGGCATGAAAAGGAAAAAGTAGAGGGCTAAATAAAGAGGGCACTTGGCTGGAAAGAGTAAAAAGAGAAAACTAGTATTATATACCCAACTATGAGCACCTTCCAATAAAAGAAAGCTCGAAAAACCATTAGACAAATACACGTGCTGACTGCAATGGTCTGGACAAAGGGTCAAGAATGATGTATAGCTTGGCGTATAACTTCCCCATTGTTGGCTATATATATTTGTTACATGCGTGCGTTATGTCTCCTTTCATTTCAACTAAATACGCAACAAGAAGCATCCAAAATACAGTACATGAAAACAGCTTCATAATACTTAGATCACAAGGATTTAAAGCGAAAACCCCCATGTTTCTACTTTCTATTTCCATACTAAGATTGCGAGAATTCAAAGTAAATCTAAGGAAATGTGTGACATGCTGATCTTATAGCAGAGTGGGACAAATTCCTATCTTGTTCACTAAACTCCGAGCAAGAATTAGCCCTTATTTGATCCTAATTATTTCCAAAATACATTTTTCTCCATTTTTTTTTTCAACCACACATTCTTCAATAAAATAATATTACCCGCAAATCCAAAACTATTCTTTATTTTTTAATCACACATTTTCCGTCAATCTACTATTTCAAAATGCATTCTTACTACATGCGCTAGCCAGCCTTTTAGCAAATGTTCTGTCCAAGTTTCTCAAAGAAATCTCACAGCCTTACGTGTCTTTACTTTCCGCGATAACATTGGCAGCCACTTATTTCCGTCCAGGTGACATGTGGACACCATCTCTTTGACTCGGTAGGAGCTGTGAAGAGGAGTGTCTAAGGTTAGAAGCAACGATAAATTATAAAACACAGAGATGTTATAGATACTACAATGAATGCTATTATGTAAATACTTCATAAAAAAAATTAGATATAGATATTACATTCAGAAGGATTGTTGAAACAACTGTGTAGGATTATGATGTGTAGCTCATTTTTTCCAATTGACTGCGAGTCAAGTGGCGGATCCAAGGATCCAAATGAGCACGGACGGCCGCTCAAGCGTCCACCCAATATGAGAAAAAAAAAAAATCGAAAGAGCCAGTACGTAGGCGGTCACAGGGATTCGTCGCATGCTGGCTCCACCCATGGAACCAACTCTTGATCCCTAAAGACCACAGCTGATCACAATCCCTATTGTCCACATGCAATAGTCTTCCAGGATTGCCGTTGCCTTAATATACATACAATTGTTACAGTCTTGGTTTTAGGTCATTACTATTAATTTGGTAGGTATATGAAACAACTTGACCTTCCTCGACACAATAACCATTTCCAATAGCAAATTACACCTCATTCTGAGTAAATTTGGAGGCAGATAATTGAATCTTTTCGCCACCCTGATCAATGTATTAATAATTTTGTCAAAAATATCCAATAAAATTAGAACTTTTGCAAGGACACAAGGCCATATTGAGTTTGGTTTACCTCTCCCCCTTACCTTTAGAACCTGTTATACTGGGATTGCATCACTTATAAACACTCCTTTAGGCATATGCTGAGCAATGCCCCAACCACGAAAATCATCCCCTTTCAATATATCCTGACCTGGTACCGTTTACCCCGTTTGATATCAATTCTATTATAACCACATGTCAATCTAAGTATCTTCATTTATCCTACGTTCATTTAGGATATGCTATTTCTAAACGGATGAACAATTATTACAACAATCCATAGACCGTGATCCACAAATTGGTGCATGGGATTCACCATTTACTTGGGGATAGAGAGAGAAAACATAGTATGTCACAAGAGCGAGACGAGATTTGGAGCCATACAATAAGAAGACATGTCATACCAAAAGAAAAATAAAACAATAGCTTGTAGAATATGCATTAGTAAGCAAACATTCTTTAAGCAAATGAACGCTAATAAAACTTGCTTTTTACGTAAATTGAGTGACCTTGGTCTCTCTTTCATCTTTGCATGTCTTGGAGCAACCCCTTGAGAGTGATTCTCCCTAGCTTCCAGCCTTATTAACACAGGGAAACTTCTCCTTCTAAAAGTGATTAGACAATCACAAGTACATAGAAAATGCATGGTGACTAGTCTTGAGATCCAAGAGCCCTGAATCACTATGAGCAGAACATTTTAGGCATGCCCATTACTATATTTACAGTAAGCTATTGCGCAGAAGAGACGATTTTGGAGGATTTTTCGTTCCATTTCCGCAATCTGATATTTTGTTAAGGTTTTCATTCAGTTTCTGCAATCTGGTATTTCGTTTCCCTTACTTTTGTGATTTGGGTTTCCTTCTTCTTTACTTTTATTATGGCTACTAAAAGAGATGATTCGCTTCAATCTGTGAGTGTGAGGTTGGATGGAAAGAATTATTCGTATTGGAGTTATGTGTTGAGAAATTTTCTTAATGGTAAAAAGATATGGGGATATGTTAGTAGAACTTCTGTGAAACCTAAGGATATTGATCAGCGTTATGCTGCTTCGATAGATACATGGGAAGCAAACAATTCAAAAATTATTACTTGGATTAACNAAAATCATACTTTGATAACGTTATATAATTACATTATAATTGGGCGAAACTCGGGCGAAAAGTTACTGCATTGGTCGCTCGAGCGAGTCTCTAGCGAAAGTCGAGTGAGGGTTGAGCAGTCGTCAATATTTTCATCATAACTTTCTTTACTGATATCCGATTGTGATGATTCAAATTCCGTTGGAAAGCCAACTCTAAGGGCTACAATTCTTCATGAAATAGCCATATCCATATTCCAATGTTTTCGATGTGAAAAATGAGTTGAAAGTGGTAATTACAATAATAAAAAAAAAATTAAAAATAAAAAAATAATTTGGTCAAAAATGGGAGAGGGGGCAGGCTCCGCCCCTGATTCACTAGGGCCTTACACAGCCACGGTTAAAATATAGGAAAAGCCAAACAGGGCTCTCCCCATATTCTCAACATTTAAGAAAAATGTGTGCTTTATTAATACTTGTGCAGAAGCAGAATGTCATATGTTGTGGTTTTTCTATATACGATATCGAACAAGCAACATAATGAATCTTTGAATCCATATGACTATTATTTATTCCTAATTTATTATTTCAAATTTTTATCGGGCAAAGAATAAACAATGATTTGGTGATTGATTGTCTAAATTATACTAACTACTAGAAGTTATCAAAGGCATACAAAAATCGAATTAGGATTTTAAATATGGAAGGGATATTAGGGCTCACAATTTCATTTATTGATTACCTTTAGTTCTTTAATCAAGATTCTTAACCTAATATAATGTTCGGTCAAATTATTATAATGTATTCAATTTATTGTTCTCGGGTTCTCATTGAATCTATTTAACTAATTCAGTTTAATATCTTTATGTGAATCCAGATAAACCCCAGTTAAACACATTTAATTTCTAAGAATTCTTGTAACGATCGCATTAACTTGCACAAATATCTCTACGTTTTATACTAGTTACCAAATTTTACTATGTGATCTAAATCTAAATCTAAAACTCACATATCGATTTGTAATAGATTCACAAAATTAATGAATAATTAACCAAAGAATTCAAGCATTAAACTCATGCATAAAATCAACACATAAATTTTTAAAGAACTAGAATCATGAAAATAGAAATAAATAAAGGGTCTCAATAGATTACATTGTATTGCCCTAATGAAAATTCTAGCTACTCATGATAAATGAATAAAAATAATAGATATTAATTGAGTACATCACCGGATTTTGGAATTAAGATGTAGAGAAGTGGATGAATCTTGCAACAAGATGATATTCTTGTCCAATCAATCTTCAAACCCCTTGATTTCTTGTTTTTCTTCCTTGGTTTGCCTGTCCTAATTCTCAAATTATTTCCTTCTGTTTTTCAATGCGTGCATCTCCTCCTGTATTTATACTTCTTCGAATCTTTTTTTTTTTTTTTTCGCATTTGTAGTCCTTTTGGGCTTTTAAAGGGCTAAAAATCCGCACCCTGGGATGAATTAGGAGGCGCCATGTGAGTGGCGTTGCGGAGTAATGCAGGGTGGAGTCTAGGCGCCAAAGGAGTGGCGCCCTTTCAGTTGATCAATGTTGCTTTTCCAAGCACCACACCACACATGCTGCTTCCTTGGACCTCTTTGAGTGGCGCTCGGGCATCCCGTTTGCATCGTGATATTCCCATTTTACCACCCTTTTTCTTCTCTTTCTCTTCGGTTCATTCCAAATCACTTGTTTCTCCAACTTTCACATTTTTAACACCACCTCACCAAATACATAAAACACCGCTAGAACACATTAAAAAACGTTCTATACTCATGAGATCTAACCAATTATCAAATTAAAATACAATAAAATGCATGAGTTAAACACACTCATCACCATACAAACATATGAAAGTGTTTTATGAAAATTTTAAGATAACAATAATTTGACTTTTACATACTTTCATTTGAGGAAGAAATCTTGTATATAACTCATTCTGAACCAATGTTTGTATGATTAAATGATCACAACACACAATAATAAAATTAAATTTTTTAATGTCAATAAAAGTATTTTTTTAAATATATAGTATGAAAATATAAGTCACCTAAATTAGAAAAATAAACAATCAAAATACAAAAAAGAATATATAATATTTCAATATTGAAAAAAGGAATTTTTAATGTTCAATATATTCAAAACTGTACAGAGTTATTAAATTAAACAAACAACAAATATTTAAAATTTAATTTCAAATTAATTAATATGTGTATAAATTTAAATTCAAATTCAAAATTGATCTTCCTATAGAAGAATTGTAAGAAACCATGAAAAAGGGGAGAATAGATAATTATAAATTGATATTTTTCATAGAAAAATGGAGAAAATGACAAGAAAGAAGATGGAGAAAAATAAAGTGAGAATGTTAAAAATTAATTAATAATACAAGTTGAAGAGAGAGAAAAATATTAGATTTTAGTATCGTGGTTTCATAGAATGAAATATGAAAGAAAATTTTACTGATAGAAATATTTTTTTAGTCTTTTTAAATCTCTAAAAGTCTATGAAAAATGGATCATGCTACAAGTATATAATCATTTACATAATATGTACATAATTATTGTACTTAATGGATTACATCACCTAAGTTTTTTTTCCTTGTTAAAATGCTAACTATTTAGTTCTACAAAACCCGACACAAAAACTTTATCGAATATATATAACGAGTCCAAAGAGAACAAAAGATCAAAGTCCAAACTTAGCAAGCTGAGAAGCCAACAAAAGCACAGATCGAGAGACTTTACTGTCCACGTTATAGTTGTGAACGTCTAACCCTTGACAAACAAATATATTTTTGGTCATACCGAGGGATTCTTGTCCCATATCTGTCTTTCCTTCCTGTAAATTTACTTTTCTTGTTCCGTGCGATGTCTACGAGGAGCAGAACTTGTATACACGTAGAATACAGAGCATCGTGCAATAATATCCCACAGGCATATTTAGTTCAAAGTCCCTTTACACACTCCTTAATTTTCTTGAAAAATATGGGAATTCTCAAATTTCCTCTCTTTCTTTTCTTAATCTTTCCGATTGTCCATTCCCTGAATGTCTGTTCATCGTCTTTCTGTGGCAACATCCAAATAAAGTACCCTTTCAAATTACAAGGCCAAGAAACAGGAAATAACTGTACCTATATTAACCTGACATGCAGTAATCAGGGAATACCTATTCTAAATCTTCCTTTTTCGGGTGATTTTTACGTAAATGATATCGACTACTACGATAACATAATAACCCTCCATGATCCCAGCGATTGCCTCCCAGGAAGGCTTCTGAATAACTCTATAAACCTTACATCTTCACCTTTCTCTGCGAACTATTATGAAAACTACACATTTTATACCTGTCCAGCAAATTCAGACCCAGTGGGATACTATGCCGTAGCGATTACTTGCCTAAGCAATTCTACAAATGCAACAGTTGCATCCCAAGAACCATCAGATGAATTTGAATATTTTGGCTGCGAGATTATTGGCAGTTCCCTTCTCCCAGTTATGTTTCAGGGTCAGTTCGAGGATCAAGGAATTAATGGTGATCTTTCTTTGCATTGGGATGTTTCTGATTGCAAATATTGTGATCCACAGCCTCTTCCTCAAGAAAAGGGTAGAAATCATTCTTGATTATATATAAGGTTTATATAATCGTCATTCTAGACATATATGGTTTGTTTAGTAGATTTTAGTTTCTTTCTATTTTTTAATATTGTGTGGTAATATATTGTCCACTTCACCAACCAACTTACGGGTGCTCTTTGGTTGCTAAGATAATTGAAGAAATCACCCATTAAAAAATTAATTTCTTCAAATGTTCTCTAACCTCATTGAATTTACAGGAAAGTCGGGCTTGATTAAATTTTTGAATTCGCCATTCTTAATTCCATCATTTTTTCTACTGGTGTCACTCTTGTTATCATGTTGCGCGCTTTTGATCAAGATTACAATACGAAGAAATGAGGTCAACGCAAGTGCTGATCCCAACTCTGCCACTGCTGCTGCTTTGTCGCAATCCACCATACCAAATATATTGCCACGGCAGTCAGGCCAAGCGATAACAGGCCTTGATGACTCCAGAATAAGGTCCTATACAGAATTGGTAGTTGTTGGGGAAAATCAGAGCATCGCAGGACAAGGGAATAGCTCTTGTGCAATATGCCTGGCAGCATACAATCCCAAAGAGGAAGTAAGGAGCATAGCTAAATGTGGGCATTTCTTCCACAATGACTGCATTGTTATGTGGTTAAAAAGGAACAGCACTTGTCCAGTTTGTAGATCTTTACTTTCTGATGTCAAAATGTAACATTTGATAACGCATAACTGTGACGTGGGCACATGGCAAGTTCAGAAATAGTATTTGACGGAGACATGAATGATGGCTTGTCAAGCTACTTAGACGGTCTAAATTGTGGCAAGCAATTTTTAATTCAAATTCCCCCCAATTCAAAGTAGGGTTTTGCTATATGCACACCGAGATTGACACTTCGGTGTAGATGTCCCCTCACAATAGGGGAGCCCACAAATTTTTTATTGAATGTGGGCCTCCCCTCTTTTGTGAGGGGTTATACACCGGGATGTCAACCTCGGTGTACAAATAGCAAATCCTTCGAACTATTTGATTTTTATCAAAATTTGATTAAATTTAAGACAACACAGGCTAGGGCTAAGTTGTTAATACACAGTTCTTTCCAAGTTAGAATATTTGTATCCATGAATAGTTCTTCTTCACTCTGACTGCAGGTGTTGTCTATAATCTTGAATTTTATTAATTAGTGGAATAGCATAACCAATTATTTTTACCATGTGGAATCACGTTGAGTAAATAAATTGACAGGTTAAAATGAAAGAGTATAAAACCTTTAAATGATGGCCATGAAGCAAAAATTGTGTGTGAATGTAATGTTTATAATCTTACTAAAGTCATCTCATCAAAACTGTTAGTCATTGATGAGTGTAATCACCTCATTAAATATGCACTTTCAAATCTTAGTCTTTAGTTTGATCTTGAGAACTTTTGAACGTTTTGATGTGTGTTTTGGTGTTGTTTTGTTGTTAGACAAATTTGATCAAAATGGAGTGATTTGAAGCTTGGAATGGAATGACGATAATGATCATAGATGGATGCATGGTTTGGAGAAGAAAGAATGAAGAACAAGGTGGAAAGGAAACAAAAAAAAGAAAGAAAAGCAAAAGGAGGAGCTAAAAAGAGTTCAAGGAGCTGGTGCTTTCTGGTGCCACGGCGCCAGCGACGGAGGAGGCGGCGCCGCGGCACCCCGCGCCGGGGAAAATTAAAGAAAAGCACTTTTTTTTTAGAAACCCGGCCCATTTCAACTGGATTTCGACCTGCAACCTAAAAGAACTATAAATACACTTCTTGAAGAGCTAAAGGGGGTTCTTCTGATGGCTAGAAGGAGGAGAAAAAACAATAGAACAAAGTTCTTGGAGAAATCCATTGAAGAAGAGACGATTGACACAAATTGAAGAAGAAATCAAGCTGCATTAAATAGTTTTTCTAAACTTGTTTCCTTAATCATGTTTTTCATATTAAATTCCATTTTGTCAATTGTATTCATTATGAACTAATATTTTAGATCTAGGGTTTGATGCAATCGATTTGAGACATGTTTTAATTTCTAATTATCTAGCTCTTTTGAATTTTTCTATCAATTTATTTATGTTGTTTATGTTTAATGCTTTCAATTACCTGGCCACTAGTTGAATGAATTGATACGCGAATTTCAACATTCGAGAGGGGGAAATTTAGGCGTGATCATAAAACTATATAACCTAAATTTTGTAGATTTCGAGAGAAAGTACGGATTTTTTAGNTCGAGAGAAAGTACGAATTTTTTAGGCTTGTTTGATTTAAGAACTACATGCACTATAATTTTTATATATTTAATTCGGAATATAGATATTGGAATTAAATAGTAAAAATAGATTTTAGCCGGCACTCGAGAGAGGGGATAGAATTACATTAGGGTTCTTGTCTATAAATTGAGATAAATCTGATTGAGTTAGTATATTTATGTTGAAATACATTATCGATAGAACGATGAAATCATTCCCTAGAATTTTATAATTTGATAACTTCATGGAATTTTGCATTGTTTACTCACCAACTTCAATTTACAAATACTAGTTAGTCACATCATCATCCCAATTGTTTGTCCAAATAAAGTGGAAACTACACAATTATAATATTCAATAGAAATCATACATCAATCCCTGTGGGTTCGACAATCTTCACTTCATCACTATATTACAAAATTTGACACCGTACATTTGCGACATAAATTCACGTTGTAGAAAACGCGTGATAGTCATACGAGCAACGCCATCGGACAACTCAACAAAAAACATTAATTTTACTCGAGATACGTAAAAGAGTAACTTAACTGAAACAACTTTGTATATTTGTCAATCAAAATTCACGATTAAAGTGACATTTTTTAAAAGTTTTGATGACGAATAGGGTTTCTACGTGTTTCTTTTCTTTAAGTTTTCGTGCATGATGGATTAAATTATATATATACCTTAGGGGAGAGATTCTTCTCCAGGTTATATTATTCTTCCCCCAAAGACCCTACACTAAATCAATGCCAGAAAAACATGGCTATTCTCCAAATTTTGTTCTTCATTTTTCTTCATTTTTCTGTTGTCTATTCAAAGAATTCTTCTCCGATAACTTGTGGCAATAACAGCTTCTATATACAATACCCTTTTAAATTACATGAAGAAGGCCAAAAACCTCACCCCATTAATGGCTATCAAGAATTCAATCTTAGATGCACTAGTGAAGGAATAGCAATTCTAAACCTGAAACCTTCCTCTGAAGAGTTCTACGTACGCGATATCAACTACTTTGAGCAGAAAATTATACTTGAGGATCCCGGGAAATGCCTTCCAAGGAGGCTTATGAACTTTAGTTGGTCATTCGATTCTCCTTTCAGGTCTGTGTTTTATCAAAACTACACCTTTTTGAGGTGTCCGATGGACCACCATGCCAGTGCCAAAGCCGAGTTCATTCCAATTGGATGCCTAAGTAACTCGACAGTGTCTATGTATGCTACTTCATCGATATTGCGTGCTGAAGAGATGAAATCAAACGGGTGCAGTGCAGTAGTTAATCTGCCAATCCCGGTTGCTTCGATTGATCAATATGAACTCAATGGGTTTGATGGCAATCTTCAGTTGGAATGGGATATCTCCATCTGTCAACATTGTACAGGTGAGCCGTAAGCATCCTTCACTATTCTAAAACTCATTTTCCACCAAAAAAAAGGAATCTTTTTAATGGGATCAAACATGGCTTAGTCATAACTTTAATTAGATGCAATCTCATTTGGGTGGTTTAATTAAAAGTTAATTTAAATGTAAAAGAGTGTGCTATCTACTGTCATCTACATGTCAAAAGTTACATGGCTGACATGGTTACTTTATATCAAGATTGCTTATCATAGAATTTGTACCTAGTATACATGGTGGGGGTCGTCATCTTATTATGGCAATCTTAACGAACAAGTTTATCCATGAAGTCCTCGTCCCGATTCTTATTTTTTATTTACTTTACGTTTGTGAATTTAAATTTTATTAAAAAGTAAAAAATGAATATTAGAAAATAATAATAAGTTAACAAGATGGGATATTTAATCTCGTTTTGCCTCCTGAAAATCCTGAAAGTGTTGGGTACTGCAATGGCCACCAAGTCATGTTGCCATCCCTACCAGGCATATATATGATCTCCCTGATACTTAATTTCAGTTTGCAGGTAGATCGAGAAATAAATCAGTAGGCAGAATCATCCTTCTGTGTCTTCTTATACTATGTATTGTTGCGCTCGTTTCAATGTTGTGCATAGGAAGTTGCATTCTTTGCTACATCGGACTTAAATTTGTACTAAACGATGATGAAGCTAGTGAATCACCTCACGAATCTTCGACGCTACAGCCAGAAATTGTGGAAACTCGGGCAGCAGCCACACGGGATGAGTGTAGAATAGAGGTCAATCGACCAGAAGAACTTGTAGTTGGTGAAAGCCAGCGAATTACAGGGCCAAACAGTGAGACTTGCCCCATATGCTGGGAAGAATATCAACCCACAGAGAGACTCCAACGCCTAGAGGGCTGTGGTCATTGCTTTCATGCAACTTGCCTTAGTCCATGGCTGCACAGTGAAAGTTCCTGTCCTGTTTGTAGGACTTTTGTTAGTCCATGTATTTGAGAAAACTCGTGCACATCTATTCTCGTAAATTCAATTGTGTCCATTTTCGAACATGTGTAAGTAACAGAACATCTATCCACCGTCGTGTTCAACATGTGTAAGAGTTTTTTTCAAAGCAATTAAAGATTACTTGGATGGCACACGAGTGATTACTTGCAAGTTTCAGGGTGAAATTCAACATTTGAAAAGTTTCGGGACTAAATTGCATACTTTTAAAACTTGAGACATACCAGTTTCGGATGGTTATGAAGTTTTGATGATCAATCTAGAAAATTTTAAAATTTTCACATCAAAATTGAAATTTAAGATAAAATTTTGATCATCCAATTTGCTTCGTTTTTTCTTTAAAGATAGGTGATGTACTCAATTCTTTTCTTGTATTTTTCTTATATTTAAAATACGCGATAAAATTCGTTAATTTGAATGAAATGTAACTATACACTTTTATAATTGTTGCGGTCATTAATTAAACTATTTAATGATTTAATGTGTTTAATTGAGACTTATTTGAACTCAAAAAGAAATATAACTCACGTTTGATTTAGAAAAAAAAAATCAGATTTTAGTAGATTTTAATAAAAGTCAATAGAATGCGTGGTTAAAAAGATGTAGATTAAAATCTAATTTTTTTAGCTAAACCAAACAAATGCATAATGAATTAGCTCGTCTAGATATGATTGATTTGAACTCGAAGGAGGTAAATTAATTTAATTAGCGAGTTCGACCGATACAACATTAAAAATGAATTTTGAAGCAAAATTAACATGAATAACTATGGTGAAATCACGAGTCCTAACACTTCTCACATATGCATTGAAAACACTTGCACATTTTTTAACTGCGTTTTTAGATTATAATTTTTAGAACAATAATTAAATTTTATTCGAATGAAAGTTAGGAATAGGGTAGATAATCATTGTGGGAATGATAATACGAACTCTTAGATACATTTTCTTACTCGTCTATCATATCGTACATTTTTTTTTAATAGAAATCAGGTAACACACCTTAAGAACCAATTAGTTTTTATTCTATTTACTATAAAATGACCAATAAAAACAATTTAATAAAATCAGGCCGGACTTTCAAAAAAAGAACAGTGGGAGGTATTTTCGCATTAGGTAATAATCTGATCTGATTGTCTAGTTTGCCCATTTGTTACCGTTATAAACTTGAACTCGGAGAGAGACCATATATGGTAAACATGAAATATATTTCCTTTTCTCAATCAACAAATATTACCATAACGAGTTTCAGGGGTTCTCTGGGTTTCCTTAATCGAGTTGGAATGGGATTACCATAAACATCTATATAAGAATGAACGTACCCATTCAGTTCTACACAAAAAATTTACTGCAAACAAGAAATAGAAATTCAATTCTTGTCTACAATGAAGAAGAGAGTTTCTTTCGATCTGTTTGATTCTGAAGATCTTGATCTTCCTCTTCCTAATGTGTTTCCAATGAAGAAGAGGAAGACGGTTTCACTTAGCCTCTTTGAAGATCTTCTTCTTCATGATCAACAACCACCATTAATGCCGCAACCTATCACTATGGTTCCTTATTCAGGCAAAAGAATCCCCCAGAAAAAGAGAAAGTTGAAGGAAAGTATCGTACAAGATGAGCCAGAGCCTCATCCCGAACCGCTTCTTCCTCAAATCTTGCAAGAAATAGGGTTGAATGGAGGGACCGTGCCGATTTTCTTGTACCAAAAAAGGCTCACAGGTTCTGATTCTAAGTCTGATCAGAATCGAATTTTTCTTTCTCACAACAGAGAAAAACTGATGGAATTCTTGACACAAGTGGAGCGACAAGTAGTAGAAGTTAACCAAGGCAGTGTCAAGATTGTAACAATTGATCCGGAAGGTAAATACTATACGTTGCATATGAGGAGGTGGGGTACTTTGAAAATGGTTGTGCTTAAAAAAGACTGGAGTAAATTGGTGAAAGCAAACAATTTGGAAGAAGGTGATTGGATTCAACTGTGGGGATATCGCCAAAATTCCCAATTTCATTTGGCTTTCAACATCAAGAAAGCGGCAAAAAAGGTCACCCATGGGGATGAAGCAAGCAGTAGCAACGTTGATGGCAATGGCAGTAGCAGTTGCGGTGGTGCAAGGGGTAGTAGTAGCGGTTTTGGCCCAAGCATAGTCTCCGAGGAATAGAAGATAATATGCATGGAGCTAGACATGAAATTTTACTGTTTTGGTTATTGTCTAGTAGTGACTATGGTAGGAAATTTTTGAATTAGACGGGTTTAGTTCTATTTTTTGTAAGTATTGAGTCGTATAAAATTGACAACAAATGAAATAATTACTGCTGTTTATGTTTTCACTGTTGTTTCGAGTTGTAAAATTGACCATAATTAATAATGATAAACTGGAAGGTTTATATGCTAAGCCATTTTATCAATCAAATTATTTCTTGAAAAAAAAGAAAATATGGAAGATTTCTGTTGACATTTTTCCTATACGGATAATTTTTCTGTATCTTTTTTACTTCCACAAAAATCGTAACTGAGGTTAATGCAAAAGACGATACAATCATCAAGAAAGAATTTGAGTGGTATGAATTTTAAGGGTTGCAATACCGATAAATTTCTCATAAAACTTGGCCAAATCTGCGTATATCCACAGTGGCAATAGCGTATCAAAATACTAAGTACTTGTCTAAAAAGAAAGCTCGAGATTGGAGAAAAATACGTACATGGTAATACTATTACCGTATGCGTCATCAGTTCTTCCGACTGGGTGCCATTGTGCAATGTCTTCAACAAGTATATGCTCCCTATGTAAAAATAGGCTCGGCCGGCTTCTGAAGTAGCAGAGGAGGTAACTTTGCACTAGGTAATCGGGGTGATAATTTAGCATTAGCGGATGATTGTTGGGCAAGGAACCAAGCACATTGGCAGCAAATTTTGAAGCATAAATGGTGGCACCGAGGCTAGGTGAGCTCCTGCCCTCTTTTGCCAAGGCCTCTTGCATTTTAACTTCCGCCTCTTGCAGAAATTTCTCAATCTTCCTCCTGCAATGTCAATGCCATGCTCTACTTGAATAAAGCAGGCTACCCATGTCCTCCACTTCTGGAAGTAGAACCTGAAGCAATTATGTAAACATCTGGGTCATGCTTATTTTCTTCAAAAACTTCAGTGAAATATTGAATTCAAGAAGCCCCGGTTTACAGTACGGGAGAGAGAAGACTCTAGTGAGGACTGTTCTAGTAGGATGTTTTGATTGATTGCGAGGAGCCTAATTATAACGTTCAAATATCCCTTCGACAGCATATCGACATAGTTTCTATATTGGGCATTCATATAATTGTATTAAGATGCCCTTGTTTTCAATGTTATAAATAGGAGTCTGAGGGACTGTCCTTTCAGAGTGGTGTGATTAATCTCGCAATTCTCCTTCTTCATTGAAGTAGTGGTGTATGGACATAGCTCTCACATTGATGGTGAATCACGATAAGTTTTTTTGTTATGCGTGTTTTCTGTTTTGGGATTACGGCTTAATCCTACATTTTATCGGGACAGGGAGCAGAGGGATCGAAAGTTATAACAATTTTACCAAAAAAAATTGAATAATAAGTTTTGTTTCAGGACTTGCCTCAAGGTGTGCTGAATATGCTAGTGTGAAGACTCCTAAATTGGGAGGCCACACATTTCAGGGCACCGGCCATCAGAGAGAAGGCCTTGACATCTTTTATAGCTTTGCACAGTTCTCATTGAGATGGGAAGACTCGGGGAAGAGTTGGGATCCAGAGTCCATGTAAGAAGTTCTTCCCCACAAAAGTCCCCAGCCTTGAGATTATTGGAGGTGAAGAAACCAGTCCTACCACCGTTAGTCGTCATGGTCAATATATTACCACGCATAATAAAGAGCATCTTGTCAACTAGATCTCCCTCGTTAACTACAAAGCTCATCTCTGTGTAAAGAACCGGCTTCAGATTATCACACATAGCATCCAACAGATGTTCGTCCATTTGCTCAAACATTGGCACCTTTAATAAATAGTCAATAACTTGATAAGCAGATTGCTCAACTAAAGAACGAGTATAAAATACTTAAATGGCATGTTTGTATAAAGTGTACTCTAGAGTATGGTTGAGGTACCCTTGCTCTTGTGAGTAAACTCCAGCAGACATGGCGATTGATATCCCTTCTTAAGTCTTTAGGCAGGTTACGAATTAAAGAATTTTCTTTGACACCCCTGGTTTCTTGCCATTTGGATTGCTCGTATTGTCTAATCCATTTCCGCAAATCATCAGGAAGCATACGGTGGAACATCCATTGCTCTGCATCTTGTCTTTTCTCTCTCATTTCTTCTACCCTAACAGTGATCGACTTCAAATATTTCTGTGACAGAAAACAAAGGCAAGCTCAGCCATTTCCTCTAAAAAATTCTGTAGGAAAAAATGTTATGCCCTAAGTATATAAGCATGATGAGAGACAAGCTCAAATTAAATATCAGCTTGTGGCAAGTTCAATATGGCGGATTAGACAACACGAGACAGTATTAAGACTAGAAAGTAAGTTTTTCATTTTGTCCATTGTACTGTCTTAAATATACCATTAAGCCTTATGTACAAAGCAGAAAGTGTTTTAATGGGAATCAAGTACACACCTCCATGTTACCAATGAGTAATGAAAATAAAACCAGCCCAATGATGGAGATGGAAATGGTGAAAAGAATCTCCCAAATGTAAGTGCCCGCTTTGAGGTTTTGGCCCGGAGAACTGAAATGAGAAATATATGAGAATTGGTATAGATCACATTGAAGGTTTAATGGAACATAAAGAGAACCACAAACCTTAAATTCCGCAGACCCCACCAAAAGCAGTAGAAAAAATTCATAGAATAGTCTCTGTGGTTGACAACATGAGACTGAAGAGCATCAAGGAATATGCCAAAATCAAAGTCTGCAGGGCCCTTTATTTCATTTGGTTCAAGTATAGGACAAGAAATATTGAGAAACGAATAGTTTGCAAGGCGTTGTCCACCATAATATAAATTATGTAATTTACAATCATTCTTATCACATGCATTGCGCCAACAACTATCTTTGCACTCTATTGAGAACAAAAACCAGAAGGCTCCAAGTACCTGACGAATAAAATTAGCACCTCATAAGATTATCTAAACTTAGGCCATGAATTTAAGATTAAACAAATAGAAGCTTACATGACTGAAAAGCAGGTAGAGAACAAGATTAAAAACAGCTCCGGCCCATGGTGTTTCAGTAAATATGCCTGATGTTCTGGTTACTTCCTTGTATAAAGGATAGATTCGAAAAAGTCTTGGTACATATTGGAAGATAATGACAATCTTCAATAGGTCCTTTGTAGCCAGCGACATTGGGGAATTTAAGCTGGGAACTACAATTAAAATTACCACCTGCAGACGAAAGAACAAGATACCATGAAACCATTTTGTTTTATATAACTGTAGCTTCAATTGACAACAAAAAGGTCATGTACTCGTGATAGGGGAAGAACTGCTAAAACATCAACGATGAAGTAGGACATTAAGTATCGTTTTGCTATAGCATTAGGATCCTCAATCAACTCAGCCCTCCCAAATACTCAAGAAGAAGGGGCAATAAATCCAGTACAAAATTGCAAAATAATGTGCAATATGTAGAAGAGGTCAGTAAATGATCAAAGAACGCAAGCAGTGATCTCTAATTTATCATCCAGATACGAATCTTCTTCGCACTTGACTCTAGCTTAACATTATGTGAAGAATGAAAGTGTACGGATTTTCTTATCCTTGAAGAACCCGTTTCTAATCCTTTTCCAATGCCACTGATTGGTGAATTCAAATTTGGTTTCCATTTCGCCAACCATTTGATTGTTGATCAAGGCTAAAATATGTCTCAGAATTAGACTCCTCAAACCTGAACAAAAGCACATAATAGTAGCATATATCCTAGAACACTTTATTCCCCTATTGTGAAATAAAGCGACAAGCTCCACGGTTCACAAAAGGTACAATATCACACAAAATAGAAGCATTTTAGGAGCTAAACTAAAATCTCGACTATCTTAGATAGTATTGTTAAGCTTATATATTGAACCATATTCCATCCCACATCCCTCCTTCCTCTGCCAAAACACCATAAATCTTTTCAAAAACATAAAACGTAAGTACACAAAAAAGAATTCTTGTGCCCAGCAGAATTTGAACTTAAAAAAAGAGTTACGGGGAATTTGAACTAACCTCACAAGTTTCCGTCGCTTGATTGTCATTTCTTCAGGTTTTCCAGATAAAAATTCAACCTAAAAATTTGTGATCTTCCTTATTTACAGACAAAAATTACCCTGCAAAATAATCAGAATTAAATGATCGTTTACAAAGACAATCTTTAATCTAAGTAAATAAACACAAGAAGATTATAAAAATTGAAGTTTAAGTGAATTTGGAAACGAACGTGAAAAATTCTTTGAATGCCCATTATGGGATTATTAGATGGTTATATAACTAATAGTCAAGAAAGGCAAATTTCAATTGAGAAATTTGTTAGTCTTTTCTTTAGAAGGACAAAATACATGGCGGGAGACGACCTTAGCCTAGAGATAGTTTATCCAACTTTGAGGTGAAGATTCGAACCGTCACCCAGTATTTTGTGGATTGTTTGACAATCATTATTTCAAAAATCTTTAATTCTCAACTACATATTTACATAATAAAATATTTTATATGTAAACTTAAGATTTTTCTCAACTTCTTAATTATGCATTCTCCAGAAAAATCACTATTCAAAACTCTATTTTCTCAAAATAATAATTGTCAAACGGGGGCTAAAATTGATCTCATGTTTGTATTAATTGTTACTACATAGTAACAAAATATCTCTTCGATAATGGTATCTCCATGTTTTGTATTAATCAAAACTAAGAAGCATTTATTTTCGGCTTGTACATAAAAAAATGTACATAATGAATTGCATAATATGATTTGGAGGAAAAAAATTGAATGAAAAAGTTGATTGTCCTTTTTAAACTGATGGTAGAGTGTCACGTGACATTATATAATCCATTATGTAAAATCTTGATGTATTATAACTAAACTAAGAACGTTTTATTGAATATGGATTTCAAGTTAATTTTATTTTTTATATTTATCAAATATGATTAATAGCAGAAAATCCTAAAAACGTTTCCGTTAGATTTTTCGTTAAAACGGTAAAAAATGTCAAAATTTAAAATGAATAATTGCAATTTCAATACCCAACATTTTTATTTTTTTACAGATCCTTGAAACTTTATTTTTCACTCCACCGTACCCCTACTCAATCATCTTCCCCCAAATTTCTTTCTTTTTAGCCTCTCTAATTCTCAAATTCATTCGCCATTTTTGGTTGCTTTCAACTCTTTTTTCTCTCCTCCTCCTCCATATTATTTCATATATAGACATTCCCGGGTTTGAATCCAAAAGCACTGAACGATCAAGACCTGTATACAGTGGAGAAGGAAATATATTTGGGTTCATTGTGTCAAGTTTCAGACACACCAAAATCATGGCAATTTTGGATGGTCATGTTGAAAAATGGATATTATGACAATCTGGTCTTTGTCCTGAAAATGGGAAAAAAGTATCACCATTTAGTCCAGGAAGATTTCCAGGTTTTGGAAGTGGATGTATGAATCAGCCCGTTTTTTTTTTAAAGGTGAATTGGGCTGGAGGTCGGCCCAGTCCCCCCAGATCCGCCAATGCTTATGAATTGGATTCTAATTCTGATGGTGTAAATTCTTTCCTTGAGGTTGTCTGGGAGAAAAAAAAATTGGTTCTGGGAGTTGGGTTTTTGCTCATAAACCCAGGACCTCCTAAATTTTCAGGAATAAATCTATTTGTCCAGAACTATTCATCAACCAGAATAAATCCAGACTGACAATTTTACAAAATACCTTCCTATATAATAATTTGCAAACAAAGCTATTATAAGAATTAAAAACTTCAAATTAGACCCCCAAAGAATTATAGGTTAAAAATTTATTCCGCTACTCTGCGCACCCTAGTAAAAATGGTATCTGAGCGTATATCAAAATACATATTTCCTGGAGGAACTCTATAGGGAAAAGCAGTAATTACTGACTCTCTGCCCCCGACTTGGCCCTCTACAGGATATGGTCAAGGACTCCGATAGTTATCGTTATACTACTGTCAAGTCAAGGCTGCTTCCGTAAACCCGGACGGTAGTGAGTGCGATCTGCGCACTCTG